GGTCACTACAGGAAATCAGTTTCCCATTGATGTTCTTTCACTTGAAACAATAGCATATGCTATGAAGATGTGCAGCTTGCAAAAATTCCTGGAAAATGTAAGAGTCAGAATGGTCAACTGTTAAAGGTAGTAGGACTGCTGAAAAAATTGATATAGCTGATTCTTGGACTGATGATTTGGTCCGAGTTGTAGGAATCGAGACTGTTATGGTAAAAGCATACAAAAAAATGAGACGTACAGGAGGTTGGCGTTTTTGTATTGACACGAAGTGCGCTGATGCTCCAGCAATTTTGCAGTATAGTTATGCTGCAATACAATGATAATTCGTCCCGCTTGGAGCTTCCGAATCATCAAAATTTAAAACTCATTACTTGCCACTTGCTCGAGTTGAATTAGAATCTTACGAGATAATTCACAGCGCAGTGAAAATTCGAAGACTTAAGGATTATTCGTCTTGCACCGTGCAAATAGCTGGATGTCAAGAATTTGTTCATTCCGGATTTATGTCTCGGGATTTGAGCCCAAGAACAAAAGTTAGGGCAAAAGAACTGTAAAGGTTGGCATGAGACTTCTGTTTGCAAGCAATCATGGACTGTGCTTCTAAAGTATACATACTACTCGCTTTCCAGTTCATCAGTCAGGTACATGTACATACATACACACGCATGCAAATACAATACTTACTTCAAAAAAAAAAGGCATACATGCGCAGACGCAAAAACGCACGCAAGCAAATACATAAATTCGGATGTACGGCTGCTGTGAATTTGCCTTGCTTTATGCAGAACAATTAAAGTCAACCAGCGCAGTAACACTGGGTCAACTTTCTACAAAAATCATGATAACAGCTTTATGAATGGGCAGAGGATTACAGAAAGTGCACTACCGATTGATGGTGTGTTCAATGTGAAATTGGCAAAACGAGGTAATAATTTGGGGATCGTTGTGAGGAGCGTGACAGAGGGCACTAAAGGAGAACCAGTGATCATATCGGAGGTCCGAACTGGAAGCGTTGCTTATCGGTAATTTTTATGCCTGCTTATTTATGCAAATGCAAAACCACGTCTTGACGAGAGGTTTTCAGTGTGTGTGTGTTTTTGTGTATGTGTCTATGTGTGTCTGTGCATGTATGTGTGGGTGTGTTTCCGAATTTCGCCACCCACTTTCACTCATCAGTCGGAGAAGCTAGGAAGCTGAAATTTCACGAAGATGCTTGAACTCACAAGCCGCCCGGCCAACTTAAAATTTGCGTTTATAATGTCAAAAAGAAAAAAAAAATTATTATTTCTTTTAAAAGTGTGAACGTCTAAAAGGAATAACAGTTTTTTCGGGGGGAAAACGATTTCAGGAGCCCGGCAAGATAGGGAAATCGAATTTCACAAGAACATTCTTTGCTGTTGTTTGAGCAAAAATTCTAAATTCAGTTATTATACAAATTTACGCCACTTATACAGACACGCCAGATAAAGATACTAATAGCGATATAATATAAAATTATATTAAAAAATTAGACGAACAGGAGTGTTTCTGTTCATTAATTTGTATACTTTCCTATACAGCAGTCCATCTGGGCCTCGTCAGCGCGGCGGTTGATGTGTATGTGCAGTGCGATGCTTGAAAATGAGGATTGAAGGTAAATCAGGCTGGAACGCATCAACCCTGTCGGTGCGATCATGCATTTTTGCACTAGGCTTTAAGTAATTAGATTAACTGCATGAATAGTTGTTGCTTCACATCTACCGTGTGTGCTCAATATCTAAATCATTGTAAATTTTGCATAAACGAAAATAAACAATTTCCGTTTAGCGGTTGTTTTTATGCGCTTTTCGCTGTGCAGCGCTGTAGCACAGACAGCAAAAACGCATATTGTCGAAAGGCTGTCTGTGTGTGTTCGGAAGCGAGGGCATTTTATCACCCACTTTCATCTCAGCAACCAAGAAAGCTGGGAGGCTGAAACTTTGGATATATGTTTCTACCCCGTGTGTCATCCTCCCATTTTAAGACCTTTCCCCATACGCGCCTAGACCCCAAAGAAATATTTTGGCGGGAAACGATTTCGCGAACCAGGCGCGTTAGAAAGCCGCAACTTTACAGGGATATTCTCTGTGCCTGTGCGAGCTAAAGATTTCAAATTCAGCTGTCGCGCACGCCTGTGCGGCGCGTACGATCACGTTAAAAATTTGCAAATTGGTACTATGCTAACTCGAAAAATTGCGGGGAAAGTGAATAATTTTGTCAGTATGTTTGTCGCCCATATGGGAAATCGTGCACCTAAAATGAGTATCGATTTGCACTTGCGCCGCGATTTAGGGCACTTTAAAGATATTTGTAGCGAAGTGGTTATTTCGCTTACTGGATAAGCTGCCACGCTGAAAATCTGCTGCGATACACTCTACTTCCAAGTGCGGTCTCAATTCTGCTTGGAAGTGAAATTCAAAGTGGGCACGAGAAATAGTCAACTTTACCCACAAAACAGAAATGAGTGCGCTTTGCAGTGAACGACTGCCCTCATCCTAACATTTAAATGAACATTCAGTTCATTTGCATACTTGAATTTTTTGACAAACGGCCGCTTGAGCAACATTTTCACTTTTTAGTGAGCTAGAAATTTGTATTTTTTTTCGTGTCCATGGTGCAGTTCCGCTCGCATAAATTTACTTTTTTTGTCCGTTTTGCAGAGGGTGGAAGTATAGTAAAATGGGTCATAGCAATTCGTTGTAGAAGCCATGACTAGCAGCATTATTACTAAAGTACTTGAGTGCTGAAAGAAGGAAGGCAGCGTGGATCGAATTCACAGAAGCACATGGAAATATTTGTTTATTCGAAATGGCGGTAAAAGCTGTGCAGTTTTTAGCGCATTGTCTTCTCCATTCCAAGTTCGAAAGCATACTAAATTTTCCAGGGACTGTGGAATTCTACTGTGAAAATATACCCAGGCTGAAACGCAGCAGACTTGCTGGTAAAATCATACGTTTTTGCGCTAAGCTTAGAGATTGCCAAAGGCAGGAGTGATCTTTTTGCAGTAGTTTGACTTTTGGACTCACATTGATTATTATGCGTTTTTGCCTATATGCAAATTGCAAAAACGCATATTGGTACGACCCTGTTTGTGTATGTATGTATCTATGTATGTATGTGTGTGTGTTCGTGTGTGTGTGTGTGTGTGTGTGTGTGTGTTCGTCTGTCCGGGTATTTCAACTCGGCAACC